GTCCACTTCTGGACTCTCAGGAAGATATGCTGATTTAAGGTCCGTCATCAATTAAAAGACAAATAAATGATATGATTTTTTAGCCTAGTTAAAGCCTAGTGTGGGGTAGTGATAAACCCCCCAGCCATTATAGAGTAAAAGTGCGTAATAGCACTAACTCAAGAAGAAGAAGAAGAAGAAGAATAAAAATGTCAGTACCAAAAATTGGATAAAATTTGATAAAATTGGATCGGTTGTACCCACATTAAAACCATGACTATATTTTTTCATCAGAATTGTTTTGTCTATGAATATAAAAAGATTTATGAATAGGGATGAAATTTTCAACCCAGCGTACTTAAGAGAACAACATCATTTTAAACAACAGTATGCTAGCAATGGATACTTAAATTATTATTCCTTTTTATAACGAAATTCACACCAACTATATTATGAAAAACAACATTATGAAAACATACTGTTTGAATGTCAAGGAAGTTCCAGGAATGAGAATGAAAGCCAACAGTGTCATGAACAACAGTTTTTACAAAACCATTGGATCCTAATCAAAACTGTTCTGTGACACAACAATGGGATGAACAGCAAGTTTCTGGAAGTAAATGATGTGAAAGATTTAGTAGAGTTATAAATGATAGGAAGAATTTTGATGTAAGATATTCTACAACACAACAAGCTCAATATCAATCACGTTTAGAAAAAAAGTATTTCAGATATTCTGAAAACAGATATTTTTCTAAAGAGGACTACCAATTGATTTATTCAATTATTGTACATCATAAGAAAACTGTGGAGAGGATTGCTTGACAAATTCGCATCATGATAGTAATCATTGGATGCCGGAACGTAATTATAGGAGATCAGACATGTCTCGACAAAATTATTCAACGAACAGTAATGACAAAAACATGCCTGATGGTCCTTCAAAGATGTTTTTGTAATGATACAATAATATCTATTTTTGGAACTTTGTGACGAAAATACTGAAGCCAAGACAGACTTATCTACATAAAGTTTCTTCGACAATCGTTTACATTATTTGAACTTCTTATCAATAAATAGGTGAGTCCAATTGGAGCGATTAAATTGAGTAATTTAAAATTAATCAGGTGCTCTTTCAGCATTTATGGATCGTTGGTGAATATTGTGTAAATAATTAATTGAATAAATAATTAATAGATTGCATAGAGCCGCGTTATTTCAAGTTACAGCGGGAGTAATTAATAGTAGTGCTGAATCGATCAATTTTACCATGAAAAGGTATTGAAGAAAAACGAAAGGTAAGTAAACAGAGTTGGGTGTTTAATTAGTCCTAATTCTTTAAAATTAAATAATTAATGTTGAGAAACTTTACTTATGGATAATTAAAGTCAAGTCGTACTAAATTAATATAATGTTTCTTTAGATACATTTCAAAAAAAAATTTGTGTTATAATTTTTTTAAGTTTATTAAGTGGATGAATTTTAATTCGTACCATTACTTTCAGCTCCAGTGTTTTACAATTATAAGAAAATATTCTTGAAGAATTGAATTTAATTAAATAGTTTTAACGTATGTTTTGTTTGAAGATTTTTATTATTGAAATATAATAAGAATTTTATATATATAAGACTTTATATATATAAGACTTTATATATATAATACTTCATATATATAAGACTTTATATATATAATACTATAAGACGTTATATATATGACTTTTTTTTCTTCAACTACTTTTTGTAACTATATATTATAAACGAGAGAATTTATATGTGCTGTATTATGTTATGATTTACAACATCAAAAAATGTAGAAAAGAGTGCTGATATGTATAAAGTTATATATGTTATATGGTTACTTTTTGTAACGATATATTACGAACGATATATAGTCTATGTAGAAGTTATATATGCTCCATTATGTTATGATTTGGGTGAAAAAGAACATTGAAAATGGTAGAAAAGAGTGCTGATTGTTTTTAAAGTTATTTGATTAAATCAAATGAAAACTATAACAGTAAGTAGAAATAATAAATTTATACAATATTTGTATAATATATTATATTTATGTTATAAGATATTACATTTATGACTAAAATCTATATTGTTATGGATATTTTTATTATATTATACAATATTTATAATATTAAATATATTTTATTATAATATTAAATACTTCAAGTATTACACTATTTAAATACTACTTCTATATAAATTAAAATTTGATTTTACTTAAATTAATTATTTTGATTTAATTTTAATTAGTTTAATTAATTACAGATTAAGCGCATGATTTTGTTTCCATGATATCTATAATTGTGTGATATTGAGTCACCTAAAATAGCTACCCGAACATTCTCAAAGTAAATATTGTATAATATATAAAAATAAAATTATAAATATTATGCATTATTGATTTTATAACCAAAGCTGAACTGTACACAATTGCCAAATGTGAATACGTAATTAAAATAATATAGAGTGTAACATACTTAATAGTCAGTCAGGTGCTAAAAACGGCGGAAGTGCTATGCCGGTAATATTTCCTTTATAAGTTATGGTGTGTACACATTGCATACATTTTTTAAAATCAAAGCTTTTCCTTAAAAAGATTTTTTATTTACAATATTTTTAAACATTACATGCATTAAAAAGGTTAAATAACGGTTGAAATACTTAAATTGCTTGCAGATTGCAGTTATTTCAAGAACTCGATTTAGACTCTGGTTGCTGCACTTCGATGTGTAATTGATATTGAAACTTTTAATTTGATGGTAAGAGGCCAGTTAGACTTGATTTGAGTATACCAATTCATTTATCTTTCTATTAATAATATAATATTTCTACGTTGGGTATTGCAACACTACACAACAATATTTTGTCCGAATGGTAGTATTCTTTTGATACTATATTGTTACTGCTATCACTTCCGAGAGGCCGTTGTCGTGAGTCAATTATTCTATAATTCTATTATTCTATTATTCTATTTACTTATCTAATATATTCTCGATCAGCCTGAAGAGACCAATTGATTTAGTGATGTCCGTCTGTCGGTGATGTAAGTCTACATTCTCAGTTACACTTGCTACTCTAGTTTTTTGTTTCTTATTTTATTGAAACTTTCCTTTATGGGATGTTGTATGTTGTTTACTGTTTATTTTTGGGGTCAAGGATGGATATAGATTACTTTGTACAGCACATCAGTGAAACGTGTTGTTTTTGAATACACTAACATATTGATAAGTAATCTATTCCACCAGAGGATATATGGCTTATTGCTATATGCCTAAGACCGTCCATACGTGATCTGATATCACACCCTGCACGAGGTGACCCTGCTTATACTGAATATGGCGGATCTAGAGAGGAAAACTCGATAAAACCCGTAATCCCCGGTGTTAAACGTACCGTGCCGAGGGATGAATGGCACTACGTGAGTGTGTCTTTGAACGGTGTACTCTAGATATCTGGCGACCTCTAGTTTTAATAAGCCTTCCCGAAGTAATGGGGGCTATGCGTCGGGTGACATACTTTCCCCTACACTCGTGGGAATCAAATGAGTAATAAATATCAAATTAATAAATATGAGGCGTCACCTCATTTTAAAAATGACAAAATAAATATATGTCCATCAACTTCACAGGCAAACATAATTAAATGTAAAACAGAACCAAATTATGAAGATGAAAAAAGTATTATTGTTATTTCAGATGAAGAGAAAACACCAGTTAAGGCTAAATCTGAAAGACCTAATCTTACCGAAACAGCACTTTATAAAAAACATTTATCATCATATCTTAAACAAGGGTTTAGTTTTACTAAATCTAAAAAATTTGCTCAACTTAATTGCATGCTAAAAAATACAAGTACAAATATTAGCGGCGAACCAACCATTCCACAAGATATTGATTTCAATAGTGTGAATTTGAAAGATATTGGTCGAATTAAACTCTCTGGATCAGCCCGAAGACGTCGCGCAATTTTATTAAGAAAAGGTTTTAGCATGAAGGAAGCTACAGTTTATTCTCATAATAAGATAAGATGGTGTAAGAATCAAGGTAGAAAACCAGGTGCTTCAAAGGAATATATTGAAAGAATGAGAGAAAAATATCCAAGCCGAACTAGTCTTATGCGTGCTGCAAGAAAATCTGAAGACAGCGATGAGGATAGGGAAAGTCCTGTAACTTTTGATACCGTGCCCGTAAATACTTTAAGTACCGAAACTAAAAATATTGGTTTGTTACCATCAGAATATCCAAGTATATGTTGGACCACAACTCAGTTTGAAATTCTACAACAATGCATTTTAAATGAAATCAGAAAACTACCTGCAAATTCTGACAAACCAAATTTTGATGGTTGCATTTTTAAGTATGGATTTATAACTTTAATATATGATAATAAAGATGTCAGTACGGAAAAATGGATAAAATCGGCTGTACCCACATTAAAACCATGGCCAAACTTTTCGGTTAGAATTGTAGAAGAAGAAAACATACCTTGTTCACAAATATTCACAGCCTGGTTTCCAGAAAGTAATGATGAGGGTAATAAAACTATTTTGACACAGATTGAGAAACGAAATAAGGGACTTAGTACAAAAAAGTGGGAAGTCTTGTTTAGAAACGAAAATGGAATAAATACAGAACTTATTTTAGATATTGATCCTATTTCCGTAAAAAATCTTGACCAACTTAATTATGAAATCAATTATCGATCTTACAAAGTTTGCTTTAAACGTACTAATGATAACAGTAATTATGGTTTCCAAACAGAGAACACATCAGGGGCTTTTAATACCTCAAAATGTAATAATGTAACTGCTAATTTTAAAACAAATCAAGAAGAAGGAAACATACTTTGTCCACAAATATTTACAGCATGGTTTCCAGAGAGTAATGATCAGGATAATGAAAGTATTTTGACAGAAATTAAGAAACGAAATAGGGGACTTAGAACAAATAAATGGAAAGTCTTGTTCAGAAATGAAAATGGAATAAATACAGAACTTACTTTGGCTATGGATCCTATATCCCTAAGAAATCTTGACCGATTTAATTACGAAATTAATTATCGATCTTACAAAGTTTGCTTTAAACGTACTAATGATAACAGTAATTATGGTTTCCAAACAGAGAACACATCAGGGGCTTTTAATACTACAAAATACAATAATATAACTGCTAATTTTAAAACAAATCAAAAAGGAAACATACCTTGTTCACGAATATTTACAGCATGGTTTCCAGAAAGTAATGATGAGGATAATGAAAGTATTTTGACAGAAATTAAGGAACGAAATAGGGGACTTAGAACAAATATATGGGAAGTCTTGTTCAGAAATGAAAATGGAATAAATACAGAACTTACTTTGGCTATGGATCCTATATCCCTAAGAAATCTTGAAAGATTTAATTACGAAATAAATTATCGATCTTACAAAGTTTGCTTTAAACGTACTAATGATAACACTAATTATGGTTTCCAAACAGATAACACATCAGGGGCTTTTAATACCACAAAATGTAATAATGTGACTGCTAATTTTAAAACAAATCAAGAAGAAGGAAACATACCTTGTCAACAAATATTTGCAGCATGGTTTCCAGAAAGTAATGATGTGGATAATAAAAGTATTTTGAAAGAAATCAAGAAACGAAATAGGGGACTTAGAATAAATAAGTGGGAAGTCTTGTTTAGAAATGAAAATGGAATAAATACAGAACTTACTTTGGCTATTGATCCTATATCTCTAAGAAATCTTGACAAAGATAATTACGAAATCAATTATCGATCTTACAAAGTTTGCTTTAAACGTAAACATGACAACATTAATTATGGTTTCCAAACAGAGAACACATCGGGGGCTTTTAATACCACAAAATACAATAATATAACTACTAATTTTGAAACAAGGCAAGATGACACTTCGAGTTCTTTTAATTCACAAAACCAGCAGCAACGCTTAGAAGATGACTGGTTAATGTCTAGAAATAGATTTACTTATGACAATATGAATTTTGATTCAAGTAACTTTGATATGCAGAAAGGGCATCAAAATGAGCAATATCATCGTAAACAAAATTTTTCTGAAAATGAACACTTAAGATGTGAGAAAAGATTTATAAATAATATGGATAGTTTAGCCTTTGGGTACTCTGCGACACCACAACAACATTCCGAAAATAAAAAGTTTAGACGTGACGAACGATGTACAGATGATGACGAAAGTTCTGATTTCATGTACTCTATGAACCAACAACAGAATATGCAACAGCAGAACATGCAACAGCAGAATATGCAACAGCAGAACATGCAACAGCAGAATATGCAACAACAGAGTTCGGAAAATAAATCGTATATACGTGTTAGAAAAAATGTGTTTGACGATGAAAATTTTGACTCACGATCTTCTTCGCAACAAGAACGACAGCAACTACCCTATGAGAATAAATGGTCAATGGATGCGAAAAATTCATTTAATAGCAATGGGAACTTTTTCTCAAACTGTTCTAGGTCACAGGGACAACAAAATGAAATAGGACATATAAGTGATACTGAAAGACCTAACTCAATTATGCAACAGCAATATTATGAAGGGAAGCGGTTCGAAAGTAATTGGCCAGTGAGTGCTGAAACACACATGAATGATTCTCGTAATTCTAACTCAAGATTTTCTTTTGAAAAGCAATGTCAAGAAAGGTGCTCTGAAAATCAGTATCAACGTTTTGAAAACAATTCATTTGTAGATGTCGAAAGGTCTTTGAATGACGATGGGAATTCTAATTCTATACGTCAAAAACGACAACCTCATCAACAACATCATCAACAACAACATCATGTACAACAAAATTATGAAACGAATTGGTCTGAACGAGAAAGAATTCCTGAAAATAAGAATGAGAGCCAACAATATCGGCAGCAACAAGAGTTCTCACAAAACGAGTGGTGTAACCGGGAGAGAGGTCATATAAATGATCAACAACAAAATTATGAAATGAAATGGTCTGAACGTGAAAAAAGTTCTGAAAATAAGAATGAGAGCCAACAATATCGACAGCAACAAGAGTTTCTACAAAACCAGTGGCGTAACCGTGAGAGAAGTCCTATAAATGATCAAGAACAAAATTATGAAACGAAATGGTCTGAACGTGAAAGAAGTCCTGAAAATAAGAATGAGAGCCGGCTACAATATCGACAGCAACAAGAGTTTTTGCAAAACCAGTGGTGTAATCGTGAAAGAAGTCCTATAAATAATCAACAACAAAATTATGAAATCAAATGGTCTGAACGTGAAAGAAGTCCTGAAAATAAGAATAAGAGCCGCCAACAATATCGACAGCAACAAGAGTTCTTACAAAATCGTGAGAGAAGTATTATAAATGATCGCGCAAAATCTAACGAAAGGTATTCTATGACACAACAACGTGATGAACACGGTTCTGAATATGAATGGCCTTTGAAGTTAGATCGAAATAGAGATGCTAATAAGAATTCTAATACAAGATTTTCGACAATACAAGGACAAAATCAACAACGTTTAGAAAATGAGTATGTTGCAGATCAGAATTTAAAGAGCGATGGCAAAGGATGTGTAAATAAATATTCTGATATTTTTGAAAGAAGACGCCCAAAAGATTCAACCAATTATTGTTCGCCGCAAGAAAACTATAGAAATGATTGGTCGACCGATTTAGATCGTGATAGTAATTATTGGAGGACAGAAAGTAATTATAAGGGATCAGACATGTCTCAACAAAATTATTCACCGAACAATAATGACAAAAATATGTCTGATGGTCTTATAAGATGGCCACAATGGCATATAAGTCAGTAGTAAAAGTTTTCATTTGTTTCTCGGATCAGTCTGTTACAATAATATTTACTTTCGGAAGTTTATGACGAAAATACTGAGTTACAAAACAGACTTATCTACATATTGTTTCTTCCACAATTGGTGAAGAATAGGTGAGAATAGAGCGATTAAATTAAGTAAAATAAAATTAATCAGGTGCTCTTTCAGCATTTATGGATCATTGGTGAATATTGTGCAAAATAATTAATTTAATAAATAATTAGCAGATTGTATAGAGCCGCGTTATTTTAAGTTGTAACGAGATTAATTAGTAGTAGTGGCAGTGTTGGATCAACTTATCGATGAAGTAAAATTGAAGAAAAACGAAAGGTAAGTAAACAGAGTTGGGTGTTTAATCAGTCCCAATTCTTTAAAATTAAATATTAGTGTTAAAATAATTATATTATTTCTATAAATTAAGATTTTTTTGTAAATTGTGTTCTCTATAATTGAGTGCTTCTGTGTTTGTTTACCTAATATACTGTCCAATTATATACATATGTGCCGTATTTAGTCTTTGTTTTCTATTAAACATCTATTTTTATATAATATGTAGTTTTCTAAAATTTGCCTAAGAAACTGAAAGAACCACTAACAATAGTTTCAATAATTATATTTAATTAAATAAATAAAATTATTATATGTTATGATTATTGATATTAATCAGATATGATAGGGGTACTCATCATAAGGTTTTATGCGTTTACGTACACGGTTATATGAACGCACTTAGTGAAATATCTGCTGTATAATAGCACTATTTATATCAGCAATAATTATGACAGCACAAAATGCAATTTAAATAATCGTTTTTCGAGTTATCAGCAGTTCTTTGACTGAACTTTAATAATTTATAATGCTTTAAATATGTGCTTTGTCGGAAGTAAGATGATATTGTCACCGAAATCTAAGTCTTCGATTCCTCTACTGATTGACCTAAAAGATCTATTGTGCGCCTAAAGGCCCAACTAAGACAATTCTAGACTATTTATAAATCTTGTAATTACTATGGGTTTAATTTTACCTATTTGATTTGGGACTAAGATCCCACTTCCAAGGTAGTCGAGTCTACGTTTTGCCGCCGCTGGGCAGTTGCATAGTATATATTCTAATGTTTCCTTCTCCTCATGACAGAGTCGACAGGAGTCACTTTCTACCGCACCTATAATCTTCATGTGGTAATTAAGTCTACAGTGTCTTGTAATAAGTTCAGTGTAGATTGTAATGTCGTTTCTGCTAAGGTCAAGGATAGCATCAACTTTGATGTGTTCAGGATCAATGAATCTTTTTGACTGTTGCATGCCAGTTTGGGCTCTGCAGTGTTCAAATAAATGTTGTTTCTCCTATTGATATTATTTGTGAAACTATTTGTTACCACGCAGAAGCGCCCTGGACTAATGGTAGGAGTACATGCACCCATCTTTGCTAAGAAGTCTACTATTAAATTGTCCTCATGCCCTTCATGTCCCGGTATCCACATAAGAGTAACACAGTTCTCCGATGCTAGAGTATTGAGAAGTTGAAAGCATGCCCAGACCAACTTTGATTGGAATGAGGATTTTGCTAAAGATTTTAGAGCTGCTTGGCTGTCCGAAAGAATGCATATTTTGGTACCTATGGTGCCCCAAAGTAGGCATTCTCTCGCACATAGCTCTAAGGCATGGATCTTTGCCTGAAAAATGGAAGCAATTTTTACGCATTGCGATTGCTTTGCGGAATTTTGGCCCCATTATTCCTGCTCTTGCGCTGCCATCTTCCATTCTGGAACCATCAGTAGGCAATAAAATAAATAAATTAATAAAATAATAAAATTTTATTTTTGTGATTTACTACTATTCAAAATACCTTTCTTTGGTTAAAACGGACGTTAAAATTAATTTAGTTAATTAATTGTTTTAATTCAGTTTTGAGTTTTTCTAATAATTTCATGATTTAAAAAATCTTCCAAGAGTTCAATTAAATCATCCAAAAATTTAATGACATAATTTATTTATTTGCTTAGTAAGACTATTTTTGGTTGGTTTTTCAGCGCAACGCATCTTTAAATTTCATTTACAACCTACACAAATGTTTATGATTTCTTATCGCAACACTTTTTCATATTAAATTTCAATAAAAACTTAGATAAAAATCTGTTAACAATACTCAAACAATCTCAGAAGAAGATGTATCTTAGAAAAAATACTCAAACGGCAGTAGTTGTTTGGGTTTACACTCAGACGGCAGTAGTTGTTTGAGTTTTCACTCAAATGTTGCCCAAATGCATTTTAAGCTCAAAAAGTTGCTGCCAATTTCTTAAGTCAGCAACGACAGTTCGAAAATGCGGCAGTAAATAAGAGACACAACATCTTGCCCACGAGTGCGGAGGGAGATCGACCGCTGCTGTGCTTGTTTTTATGGTTAGCGGCAAACTTGAGTGTGAAACACTAGTAATTATTGAGTAAAGCACAGTGAAACGAGTTAAGCTCGGCAAATCTTCCACACAAAACAAACGACTGCGCTTTGGCTGGAGGTACGCCTCATTTGAGCGGTTCAAATGATCGGTAAACGATTTTGTTAGTTCAGTCTTTGGTGACTTTCGTAAGATAAAAATCGCAGTTACACACGCCGGAATTGTGGGCGAACCTAGCGACGTGCGGTGAGAAGTAACGCATATTGTATACGCGTGTGAAAACGTGCTGAGAAAATAGAAAGAAAAGAAGATTAATCGAAAAAATATAAAATTTAGTTCAAAGAGGTGAAATCTTATAATTACTGCAGTTTTTGTTGATATTCTTTCTCTGTGCTATTTGAGGAAAAGTGTGCTATGTGCTTAATATTACTCTACAAAAAAAACTGTTTATTTAATTATTGAAATACTTAATTACACTTAATTATTGGAAATCTTTAGTAATTAATTTGAAAAAAAATAAATAAATTTAATAATGGTTGAAACGGCTACCACAACCACGATTACGCGCACAACAACACAACAGCAAGTGCCGAATGATGCACCTGTAGCCCCCGTACGGCAGCTGCCCAATAGCAGTACTACGACGGTGATTACACCAGGACGTCCCCGCAACAATGACGAAACAGCACGCCGCATATTTTGCTTGAAACAATTTCTGTTTTTATTGTTGTTGCCAGTCATTTTATTCGCTGTCTCCCTCAAACATTTCCTTGATTTCTTATTTGGTTTAGGACAAAAAGAAAAGGATGTGAGCGGTAAAGTGGCTTTAGTAAGTTTTTTTTTATTTCTACTAAGCAACTGGTTTTATTATATACAAGTCAAGTGGAGTCACGCAGACTACATGGCTATGCACATCGATTGATATAAGTACATATAAGTCCTACTCATATTAAGTATCTCGGATTAAGAAAAACTGCAATTATATAAATGCAAAAAATTTCAACTAAAAAAGTTGCTTGACAAAATTGTGCAAAAATGTGTACTTTTTTTTTCGTAAGATAAACAGGAAATAAGTATAAGGAAGTAAGCATAAGCGTTGCATCCAAATAAGTATGCTTTATGAAGTACAAATAAAAAAAAACTTAGGATTTCTTCCATATATAATATCAATGTTTTATTGTTTATTGTGAAATGTTCATAGGCATGTTGTTTAAAAGTCAATATTATTTGTTTACTTTACAAATAAGTTTGTAATTATTAAGATATTGTAGATATTGTCTCTTACTTTATTTCTCTCTGTCTGTCTACTAAAACTACTTCTGACTCTTTCTATGTCTTTCGCTATCTGCCCTTTCCTAGCTTTTTTTCCGCTCTCACTGTATTTGCTTCTCTTTATATCTCTGTCTGTCTACTACCCATATCTCTCTCTTTCTTTTTATCTCTCTTCTTTTCTGTCTGTCTTTTCTTTATATCTCTCTCTTTCTATCTCCTTGTTTCTATCTCTCTTTCTATCTCCTTGTTTCTATCTCTCTTTCTATCTCTGTTTCTCTCTCTCTTTCTCTCTCTCTTTCTATCTCTGTTTCTCTCTCTCTTTCTATCTCTGTTTCTCTCTCTCTTTCTATCTCTGTTTCTCACTCTCTTTCTATCTCTGTTTCTCTCTCTCTTTCTATCTCTGTTTCTCTCTCTCTCTCTCTCTCTCTCTTTCTTTCTATCCCTCACTTCATACATTTCTTTTCTCTCTTTCTCTCCCTAACTTCATATATTTCTTCTTTCTCTTTACGAATCTCTTCTCTTTCTCTCTCTTTATAAATCTCTTCTCCTCTCTCTTTATGAATCTCTTCTCTCTCTTTATGAATCACTTCTTTCTCAATTTATGAATCTCTTCTCTCACTCTTTTTGAATCTCTTCTCTCCCTCTATGAATCCCTTGTCTCCCTTTTTTATGGAACTCTTCTCTCTCTATGAATCTCTTCCCTCTCTCTCTCTTTCATAACTCTTCTCATTCTCTATCCATTTCTCTTCTCTTTCTATCTACATATATTCTCTCTCTATCCACAACTCTTTTCTCTCTTTCTCTACTCATCTCTTTTCTCTTTCTCTACCCATATCTCTTTTTCGTCTATCTACATCTCTTCTTTTTTTATCTATATCTGTTCTGTCTCTATCTATACCTCTTCTCTCTCTATCTATACCTCTTCTTTCTCTCTATCTATATCTCTTCCTATCTGTATATCTTTCTCATTCTATCTATATGTCTCTCACTATGTGTATCTCCCTTTTTATATGTATATATTTCTTTTTCTGTGTGTATATTTTTCTTTTTCTATCTATATATCTTTCTCTATATGTATCTCTCTATTTATCTTCCTCTCTCTATCTGTATATATCTCTCTCTATCTGTATATATCACTTTCTATCTGTATATAATCTCTTTCTATCTGTATACATTCCTTTCTCTATCTGTATAACTTCCCTTCTCTTTCTCTTTTTCTCTCTTTCTCTATCTGTATATCTTTTTATTTCTCTCTATTTATATATCTTGTTTTCTCTCTCTATCTGTATATCTTTCTCTCTCTTTATGTATCTCTATCTGTCTTTTTTTCACTCCCTCACTATATCGTTTTCTCTTTATCTGTGGTTCTTGAAGTAATATTTGTTCTTGTTTTTAAGCCAATTTTTACAATTTTAAAGTCCCATATATCGTAAATCACTGCTCTATATATATTCCTATAAAGAATAGTGAAAGAGTAAATATTCAATGTAGTCAAACGTACTTAAAGCTGTTTATGTTAATATTTTAGGAAAATTCTATTTCTATTACCTGAGGACTGTGATTAACAGATAACTACAAAATCTTAGTATTGTAAAATATTAAAATGATTTCTTAATATTTTAAATATAATAAATTTGTTCATTAAAGTTGTATTTATATTCA